CTATGTAACGCGACAAGTAAATTCATGCGGGTCTCGGATTTGGCTAAGATGTTTATTGGCCAATCTCTTCTGCTCCTACAAGAACAATTATTCACAACTTCGCTGTTACAATTACTTGCACCGCTGATCTCAGTGAAGTCTTCTGTTCCCTTTTTCGGATGCGAGCTGGCTTCTGCTCTAGTCGAAGCTACACTAAGAACTGACTGGTCTCCAAGTCCAAGTCCAAGTCACATTGCGACTGACGGTCAGTCAGTCAGTAAGTCTTGGTGTCGAGCCCCGTCTGGGGCTCATGACCAGATATTTCTGTTGAACGTTACGGTTTTGTTTTTTGTGGGGCGCCCTCTCTGACGAGAGGACGGGTCTGTCTTTTATAAATGCTGCTGGCCCTTGCCATGACTGGTACAATAGGCCAAATAGTGGCCGACGTACCAAGTGGACTGTCTCACCCCAACCCACAAAATTAAAAAGAAATCCCTTGGCGCTCTAATTGTTACAGAAGAGTGCACAAGGCTGCAAAGAACAATATGACCCGTATTTATGCCAAAAAAAGTCACAAGTCTTACAGGGAATTTACTTTAGCCCACTGTACTTTCAGTTATAAAATAGACTTCGTAATCATACAGGAACCCCCGTGCATACAGCCTCTTTCATTACAGCATTATGAACTCAAGTTCGCCGTGTGCATGAATGAGAAATGAAGCGTCTTTGCCAGACAGCTAAAGAGTACTTTCGGTGTTTCCATTTGTGTGTCTATTATCTTTCCCCAATACTGACTGATATAGAAAACTCTGTGGCCTTAGTCCGCAAGCGAACTATACCGACCGAGCGACCGCCGCTTGTCGGTGAAGTTAGTGCCAACTTTAGCGGATTAGGGGGTGTCGCGTGCTCAGCGCAACGAATCCCCACGATCGTTAATCTCGGTTTTCTATAACGCAGCCGCTATTTCCTTGACATATGTCCTCAATTATCATCACGATGCTGAGTGGACCCCGTTCCAGACCCACCACTTGTCAGAAAATCTGGTAGCGCCGGGAATCGAACCCGGGCCTCTGGATCTGTAGCCTGGAAGTCTGACCACAACCACAGAGACGGTCAAACTGACTTATATAAAAACGGAAATTCTAAATTCTAAATAAGCTGTGTAGGATTTGAGGTACTCGCAGCCGTAGTTATAGAAAGTTGCCATCTCCTGGGATCTAGCCCCGGGTAGTTCGTATATGGACGGACGGTTCACGGGAACGTCTCATCTCCATTTGGTCCCTACATAATTGTTATCCCGACTGCCAGCTCATTTTGCCTAGCCACCTGTTCTCGCAGGTTTCTTTCTCGGCTGATTTTCGACCCTGAAGATGGAAGTGATACGTTCCTCCGAAACGTCGGTTAATATACGAACTACATGACGATATATCCCAGGAGATGGCAATTTTTCTAAATAAGATGTTATCTTCCTTCAAAATTGTTACACAAATAATCCATCATGGATTTATGTTCGTCATAGTGTCTCGTATATTCTATCTGTCCATAATTAATTGTGAATGTTTTGTTCATGGTTGCTCAGGCACTTCTGTCTTTCTCGGGCCAGAAGCAGCGAACACGCCTTCAGAACATTAGTTGTTAAGAGTATGGGGAAGCCCATCGTGCTGAGTTGGAACCATGAGAAAGAGATAGTCTCGAACACTGGACGGGCCCAAATTAGAAGGATCTTCTTGCCCCGTAGACATGAAGACGGAAATTGAATAATTTTCCGATATTTTGTGAATATTAAATAAAGCACAGATATAGGACAATATCCAACACAATATTCGTATAATGAACCAGTCACAGATCTTCCCAGAAACATTAAATACCCAATTTGGGTATAGAGCAAAATGCGCTTTCAGAAGGCATGAAAAATCATTTATCAGACTAAGGAAAATAACATAATCACCGTACTTTCCTCTGCAAAGACAACATGACATCATAGGGAAAGACCTCAACTTATATATTAACCTCACTGCAAAATTAATGGTCTCGGAAAATTCCATTGTTTTCTAAGAGGTCCAAATGAGTATGATACTTTCCTCCCTTACGCCTGATAATGGAAACAGGTAGAGTTTCCGAAAAGTTGCATAAATCAAATATAGCCTGATAATGGTCGGCGTCCAACAAAATGAATCAAGCACTGCAGCAGACCTTTAGAGAAGCATGATCGAATATGCATATAAGGGTGTATGTGCGTGTGAAGCTAAAGCTAGATGGAGGTGAATGGCCAGTTTCACGCTCCACTTGGCCATAGTGGCAAAGACAAAAGTCTGTACACCTGCTAGGAATCGTACCCGTTCGCTTAAAGCCCGCAAATAATCTCTTTAATTGATGTTACTAGTGTATACAGAAAGCTGCCGCAAATTAGATAGATATATTGTTTACTTACAGTAACATGATGCTAATAATTCAAATCCCGAACAAGGTGATATCCTTCCGCCAAAGTGTGACACGTTCACAGCGCCTGGCCTGCCACACTACCTCACGCCATACATAGGCACGAAACCACATTGATATGAGTCACAGTGTATATTCAGCTGATTTAAGCTGCAGAGCGTTTCCGGCGGTGGGAAAGAGTAAACAAGACAGTTGTTTTGCAGGTAACCGAACGGTGTCTGCTTGGGATCATGACCTGCGGATCAGACATATATTCCATCTGCTATGGGAACGAGGGCGCGTCATTGTCAGGTAGTGACGTAGACTGTTACGTCATCACCAGAAAGGTACTGGATTATACCACACTGAATGATATACACCATCTGCTATGGGAACGAGGGCGCGTCATTGTCAGGTAGTGACGTAGGCTGTTACGTCATCACCAGAAAGGTACTAGATTATACCACACTGAATGATATACTCCATCTGCTATGGGAATGATGGTGCGTCAGAATCAGTTAGTGACCTAGACCGTTACATCATCGTTTGGATGTTATTACATTCTATTTTCAATGCACTCTCAGCATCCATACGCTGGTGGGAACATTCAAACAGGACTTTTCTTCAGTAAGTTTACCTACACGAAGCGTGACGTTGCCCTGGTTCGTGTAGTGGATGGACTTCACCATAGCGGATTTTCTCAGTTTCTCCAATCAAATTCTGTGTGAGGATAACTTATAATCATCATGCAACTTCTCTTTTGACGTCACAGGCTAGAGACTCCACTCTCAAGCTTCTTCGTTACTCTTAACAGAAGCTGAATGTTGTACTTGCAGATTCTCTAATACAACAGTATTCCTAATCCTTCCGCTGACTGTCCAGTTCTGCACTACGTGGTTTCTGTTTAACTTAATCCTTTAAAATCATACTGTCACGTGTTTATAGCTCCGTGACCAATAATATAGGGTTCTGGACTTCATGATTGGATTCATTAACATCTTCTTTTACAATCTCTCTTAATCACAATAAATTATAGCGCTATCGTTAATCTACCCACTTCACAAATCACTTGGACGCGCTAGGTCTTCTTAGTCTTTACTAGTCGTAACTTGGCAACAGATTTATAACAGTCTCACTGTAAGTACACAACACATCAAGTCTTCTTTTCGCAGGCTATCTCCGTTGTACTCCTTTGTACTCCATCAATTCTCATTCCCGTTATACGACTGACTCCTGATCCTTCTTCAACTGCAAAGTTCCCGTGGCCATCTTCAACCAACAACTGACTCCTCCCTCAAAATGTCTCCCTTTAAAGTCGCGGCATGGACCACGCAGCACAGAAAACAAGGCCCCTCTAAAGTTGTAGAGGCGTGCTACCACGCAGTTGTCCTGCAAACAGTCTCGGCACGGACCACATAGAAAACACCTCTTTAATTGTCAGAATGCGTGTTTAGTGGCCCGTTGCCTAGCACTGGGCATGGCGCGGACCACATAGAAAATTCTTCTTCAAATACCTTTTCTATTGTTGCGTGCGAGTATTTCGGGCGTTGCCTAGAAATGGGTCTACATGTCACATTATTTTAGCCTCGGTCTAACGTTCGAAATGTCAAGTTTCAGCCCATTGCAGGACTCTGGCGTTACATTTTATGCACAGACTGGAAGCCAAGAAAAAGACACTAAATGATACCTTAATTGTGCCGTATATTACACTCGTTCCCTTAAACTCTGACACCATATATTAAACAAAAATATGAACACGTCTGTCATTTTAGGGTTAATAGGTTCGCATATCAACTGGAATTTCGAATATTCTAAGATCCCCTTCGGTTCTTTCTCAGGAATTCCAGAAGAACTTCATGATTTCTACACGCCTCTAAATAGGTCACAACTGTGCTCCTTTCTGTCTTTTCGAATTAATCTGCCTCGCATTTGATTCAGTTGGCCAGTTAAATTCCTTTTGCAGTTTTCAGGGTCGTTAAATGACATCTTCACAAAATGAAACAGAGTCAAACAGCTATTTTATTAGCCCGAGTTTTTGTGAGGTTTTATTTTTTTCAAAATCCTGCTTCTCAGGAGAGAAGAATCACCATTTTTTCGGGGTCTTAACAAAAAAATATTAAGAAAGTGACAAGAGGAGTTCTAATGTCTATCTATAATGATGGCACGCGGTAGCGTAGTTGGTTGAGGCACTATGCTACAAATTGGAAGGTCGTGGGTTCAAGTCCCAATGAGATCATTTGAATTTACAATAGGCCTAATCCTTTCAACCGCACTATGGCCCTGGAGCCGACGCAGCTTCTAACAGAAATCAGTACCAGGAACCTTCCTATTGGTGAAGGGTGTGCCGGGGCAAAGGCTGACATCCTCGCTGCCATCTGTGAGTCGACTGTCTAGAAAATGTGAAAGCCTCGGCGTCTCACAACCCTATGGGCCTCCACAGCCTGTTACAGGGACAGCTTTACCTTGTTCTTTTATTTGTTTAAATGCTTACAACCCTCAGGACTAAATAAAATATTCAGTTTTGTCAAAAAGCATTCTGATTTTATGATTGAAATAATAAGGGGTTTCTTTACCTTCGGGCTTACATGGTGGTTTGGTTACAGAGTACGGGACACGAGAGATGGCGACCTATGGCGATCTCCAGTCCCTCCACCCGCCTCCGGTCAGCTCGAGCCATGCCCCATTGGGTGGTAAGTACAAACACTGATGTCATTTACCATATCTCTCATTAGGTCCGAAATGTGGAACAAGTTAACACACGCAACTGCATTGCAGCATGCAGAGGCTGTTTGAGGAAGACATGAAAGCAGACAGGATCACGAACATTCACGAACGAACATGAAACTACTCTGTATTCCACGAACAAATGGACTGGTGCATATCTTGGGAGAAACTGTTTGTTAGGAAGGCTGGAGAAAGCTGCATCATAAGGAGCTTCACAATTCATACTCATCGCTAAATTGTATTCGAATGATCAAACCAAGGAGGGAGAGATGGGTGGGGCAGGTAGCACGGATGGGACTTAAAAGAAATGCATACAGAGTTTTGGTACAAACCCCCGAAGGAAGGAGACCATTAAGAAGACTTAGGAGTAAATTTGAGGATACTATTAAAATGGATCTTAAAGTAAAAGGATGTGATGGTGTAGACAGGATTCATCCGGCTTAAGATATGGAATAGTAGCGGGTTCTAGTGAACGTGGTAATGAAGCTTAGGGTTCCATAAGGGGCAAATATTTCTTGATTATCTGAAAAACTCCTATTTTCTCAAGGACTCCGCTTCAGTCAATTAGTTAGTTGATCAGCTAGTTTGTAAATTAGTTACTTAATAACAAGTGCATCGAAGTCAATTTCTAAGTGCCTAATCTGACGGTGTTAAATTGTGTTTCATAAAAGTAAATGCACGATTTGCAAGAATAAAAACAAAAACAGAGAGGGAAGATTAGCACAAAGTAAGCAGATTTCACGGTTTCGGTGCATGAGCGAACAAAAGTTCCAAAAATGCAACTATCAGCTATCCATGTCTGTTTGTCTGCCCATGTGTAACAACTAGAGAACCGAAATGTCTTACTGCTGTAACTTAATATCTCCACAACGTAAACCCAGAAATTCGCTGGGATAAAAACCACAGTTTCCGTAAAAGAGGGATCGGTTCATATAGGACATATAGGCCATCATCAGGCGCGGTAAAATTGTTTTAGCGAACTTCCTCCACTTCCTTATATGCTGAAGTTACTCTTCTCCAAATTTTATGATTTAATCATAGATTATGCAGTATAATTCCCTTTTTTGCGCAGTGTGTGTTGGTGACTAGTATATTTTTATGGCTCTGTGCGTATTTCCTTCTGTTATGTCTTGTGTAGATGTTATGAACGTTCTGTAAGATTGATAGGATTTGAGGTTCTCACAGCAGCCATTACGAAGAGTTCTGTCTTCTGGGATATAAAGCCACGTAGTCCATTGAAAGTCAGTGGACGTCTTAGATGAACACGCCGCCTCAATCTTCAGGTCGAAGGATAAGACAAGCGAGAAACCAGCGTGAAGCAGGCAGCAAGCAGAGCTCTTCAAAACGACATACGCCTGTGTGCACTGCGATAGTCCATATCAGTTGTGCAGATTGATTTTCAACAGCAGATCTGCATTTGAAATAAATTAACATGAAGGAGAAACATATATAAAAACTTTCAAAGGAGCCGTTTATACAAAATATGTGCTTACTGCAAGGGACCTGTAAATTCCATAAAGAAAGTAAAATTATCCCTGTAACAGGCCACGGAGGCCCATAGGGTTGTGAAATGTTGAACTTCCCACATTTACTAGACAGTCGGCTCATAGATGTCGGTAAGGTTGTCAGCCCTACGCGCCGGCCGCCCTTTACCCCCAAGACCGTTCCAAGAATATTCCTGGTACTTATTTCTGTTAGAGGCTGAGTCGACCCCAGGGCCATAGTGCGGCTGGAAGGATTAGGTAAATTGAAATAATCCAATGACCTTATCGGGATTCGATCCGGCGACCTTCCGGCTTGTAGCATAGTGCCTCACCCAACTAAGCTACGGCGTGCCCCTGTAAATTCCACAGGATTTCAAAATTATAACTGTAATTCTCTGTATAATGGATTTAATTATTATATCATAAAACTACGTATGTGGGAGGATAGTATTAAGATGGATCTTAGAGAGATAGGCTGGGGTGGGATTTGCCAGATTGATCTGGCTGAGGACAGGGACAAGTTGCGGGCTCTTGTGAACATGGTATGAACTTTGGGTTCCATAAAATGTTGGGAAATTCTTGAACAGCTGCGCACCTAATGTCTTCTCAAGATGTGGTCAGCATCGTACAGTTAGCTGTATCCATAGTTACCGTATGTAACGAATAGGATGGCATGACGTTCGTGTACGGCTCAGTTTTCCTCAAAATTTTGTACCGTTCTGTATATTTCAAAGTTAGTGTAGCATGTACACAGAGTGTGAAGATACGCAAGGTGACTCAGTCAGTACAGTGACAAGGTTACGTACTGAATGACCGGGAAATTAGTGTTCGATTCCCGGGAGCCATGTAGATTTTTCTCGTGGTCCAGACCGGCTCTGGGGACCGATACCACCTCCTGTCCGATGGCTACCAGGAGCTCTCTCCCCTGACCTATACTGCCGGGCCATGGCGCTCATAATTCACCTCCATCCAGTGCCGAAGAAAGACTGGAGCTCTACCTCCACAAGAGGGACAAGGACAACATTGAACAGCTGTGCCAATTGTTTGCCTCTTACAGACCGTGTAGCTGAATTTTCAAAGTTTCAGAGGAAGTTATAATTCTTTGAAGAAGCGAACTTCCTGGCCATTGATCTGGTCGTGTACAAAAGAGCGCAGTGTTGTCAGCATAGCGATTTTACTGTCAGCGGGAGGTACAGTCGGCAACCGAACAAACTAAACATCACAATGCCGTAACGAGAGAAGAATGAAGAGATCCTCAATCAGTTCTCATCACATTAAATGAGGAAAGCTGAGATGGGCGGGGCATGGCAGCGATCACAGCATAGAATAAGAAATGCACATAACATTTTGGTTGGAAAATCCCAGTGGATGCGACCCAACGGGAGATCTTGAATAAGATGGAATGACATCAATATACGATTATTTACGTATAACGTGCAGAAACAGAATTTGAAACTGTAAATAAGATCGAACTAAATTAGGATGCGATCAAATGACGGTAAAACCTTTTGGCTCTAAGAAAGTAAGCACAGTGACGTACTCATAGTCGAGTTTAAAGCATTGTGGTTACTATAAGTACCACCCACTTTAACGTAAAAATTAACACTGAATTTTTCCAACATAGTGCTTATATGTGTTTCCCATAGCGATCATTTCCCTAATCAGCATTAACCGGTTAGGCTTTGTAACAGAGAGGCTGTATGGTTTCCGTAGAGTAAGAACTGAAAGTTTAAATTTAAATTAATTTTAATTTTAAAAGCATTATTACAGTGCACATAGGTGCAAGAACGGTCGAAATCCAGTATTCTGATGGAATTAAAAACTTGGGGGCAGTGGAACAATATTGAAAAACAGGGTGATTACGTAAGAAAATAAGACACGTCTAATTGTCGTGTGCATATTCTGTCAGCAAGTTAATAATGAATTCAATTTTTATTTCTTACATACCTCCGTAATAAGTATAATCAACAATAAACAGTAACCGCGGGGTCTAAGACATGCATTGCCTTCGCTCGATCGGACGCTGGGATCGTGGGTTCGAATCCCACTCAGGATATGGATGTTTGGTGTGTGCATGCGATTATTCTGTGTTTGTGTTGTCCTGTGTTTAGGTAGCGTCATTATAACGGGTTGATCACTCGTCCAAGGAGTCCTACCGTCTGTGGAAAACGATTTCGGAACTGAATAAGAGGCCTGGGCCCTGAATGGGCTGGAAGAGCCACTGAAAAAAAAAATTCCTTCTGTGTTCAGAGCCTTGTACCATATATTATGATTTGTAGGTGATAAATTCTTGGCTAGAGTGTCAGTGTCCAATTTGAAATAAACAAGTCGTAGATTGAAATATGAAAACACCTGGTAAGCAAAGAGCATCATATAAATTTCGAGAGAATATATCCATGCAGAGAGCAACACGTCACCTAGTTTGAACTCAAAGTACCAGTGTGCAGTAACTGCAGAGCTAGCATGTGACCTGGCCAGGCAGCGTATTTCGATCCCATTACATGCCGACACGCCCTAGCCTCTCTAGGTTTTTATAGCTGTAGCTACATTCCATCTCAGTACGCATTAAGCTTGCAGTTTACAGCAGACAAGGAATACAACAGCAAAGTCTCAGTCATGACAAGAGGGCTATTCAGATAAAGGTAACAAGGTAAAGTCACCCCTTTGTTTAATTGCGCATCAGGACATGATGTCTGAAAACCGTAACAGTGACAGAGCAAAAGATGATCACTGCTAAGCAACGGCGCTGCAAACAAGTAAAAACAGCAGAAAGAGAGGAGACGGCCGTTGCCATCTAATGGCTTTGTAAAAACAACGTCTTCCTGGCAACGGATATGCATACGCAACAAGAGAAAAAATGTTGGAATTGATGTTTCCTGTGCGGTCAGCCCCAAGGCTTTATACCGGGGACCGAAACGGTACTGCACAGTGAAACTGTAAATAGTAGGAATTCACAAGGAACCTGACTCTTGAAAAATAATTGTCTAGATAGCCAACATGTAAAACTGTAAATATAGATGATATAGACTACTGATTTCGACCTCGGTAAATGACAGACCCGTCTCCTCGACAGAGAGGGCGCCCAACATCGACAAAACCACAACTGTGTGACAGTAACAAATATCTGGCCGCGGGCCGTAATGTGACTTTTGACTGCAGAGTGATTAGAAGCAGAGCTTGAAGATAGGCAGCCTTCAGTCGGCACTAGCTAGCGGCAGCTAGTGGAGGTCAGACGCCGTGAGAAGTTGTGATATATTTGCCGGCCACTAAGGAGGAATCTATGGCACTGGGAGCCGTTAGCAGGCGACAACCGATCACGACATAGAAGACTGAGAAGGCTTAGTGTGTACTATAGCGAATTTTTAACTCTGTAAATCAGTGCAACTCTTTAGTTCCTTGTATTTATGATTTGTAAGAGTCCAATAGTTCCAATTACCAATCCAACCCCCGTTACTAGTCACTCTAAACGTGACAATATATGA